AAGATTCTATGAGCATTGATGATGTCATAAAGAAATTAGACAAATCTTTCCAGAAATTTCTTGCTAGAAGCCTAGGAAGAAGCGACATGGCTTCATTGATCTACGACGTAATCAAAAATGGTACAAGAGGCATTGGTTATGATCCTTATGAAGAATATGATTCTGAAAAAGAAGATAAATCAAATACTCTTCATTCTCATTTTGTCTCTGTTGGTTTTGTGCCTAAAGAAAAAGAAAAACATCTTTTGAAACCTAAGGAAAAACCAAAAGTGAAATCTTGTTTCAATCATGAAATTATATATGATTATCCTGCATCTAAGTCCAAGATTGTTAACAACTCTGGGAAGACTAACAAAAAAGGATCCAAGAAGTTATGGGTACCTAAGAAGAAGATAATCTATGTTGTAGATATCCTTAGCAGCAACGTTAAGACACCAGTTATGGTACCTGGACTCTGGCTGCTCACGACATATGACAGGAAGAAGGCATATGTTCTAAATCTTGGAACTTAAGCCTGTAGGCTTCGTGGATGTTAAAGGTGATCAGAAAGGGAAGATTATAGGCTCCCAAAAAATTGGTAATGGTTTTCTCCCTTCTATTACTAATGTTTTACTTGTTGATGGATTAATGCATAATTTATTGTCAATGAGCCAATTAAGTGACAATGGTTATGATATAATCTTTAACCAAAACTTTTGTAAGGAAGTTAGTTAGAGGGATGGCTCAATCCTTTTCAATGGAAAGAGGAAAAACAACATCTATAATATTAGACTTTCTGATCTTAAAGAGAAAAACATAAAAATGTCTTATGTCTGTTAATGAAGAGCAACAAATTTGACATAGACGTTTGGCCCATGTTAACATGAGAAGGATTTATCAAATGAATAAGCTTGATTTAGTTAGAGGCCTTCCAAATATGAAGTTCTCTTCAGAAGCTCTTTGTGAAGATGTCAGAAAGGAAAGTTTTCAAAAACTTCTTTTAAGACAAAGAATGTTATTTCTACCTCTAGGCCTTTGGAGATTCTTCCCATTGACCTGTTTGGACTAGTGAAAATTGCGTCAATCAATAGTAAGAAGTATGTATTAGTCATTGTTGATGACTATAGTAGATGGGAACGGGTTAAGTTTATTAAACACAAGGATAAGTCACATTATATGTTTACTAACTTCTGTTCTCAAGTGCAAAATGAGAAGGATCTCAAAATTGTCAAAGTCAGAAGTGATCATGATGGCATGTTTGAAAATTAAAACTTTGAAAAGTTTTTTGATGAAAATGGTATTTCCCATGATTTGTCCTGCCCTAGAACTCTATAACAAAATGGAGTTGTAGATAGGGAGAATAGGACTTTGCAAGAAATGTCCAGAACTATGATCAACGAGACTAACATGGCAAAACACTTCTGGGTAGAGGCGGTCAACATAGCGTGTTACACTCAGAACATAGTCTCCATAAGACTTATTCCGGGTAAGACTCCATATGAATTGTGGAAGAACAAAAAACAAAACATTTAATATTTTTATTCCTTTGGATGTGAGTGTTTTATTCTGAACACTAAGGAGAATCTTAACAAGTTTGATTCTAAAGCACAAAAGTGTATCATGTTAGGATACTCTGAAAGCTCAAAATGCTACAGAGTGTATAACACTGAAACACTTATTGTTAAGGAATCTATTCATGTTAGATTCAATAATAAGCTTGACTCTGAAAAGTAAAAACAAGTTGAAAAGTTTGAAGATGTGGAGATTACCTTTTCATACTCAGAAGGTAATGACGCTACTATAAAGGAACCAGAGAAAAAAGACTCTGAAGAAGTTCTACCAGAAGTTTTTGAAGCTCGGACTCCTCTGAGGAAGCATAGACAAAGATTTTCACATTCTGAAGAATTGATTCAGGGCGACAAAACATAACCTATCAAAACAAGATCCTCATTCAAACCTTCTAAAGACACGCTTCTAGGTTTGGTGTCCCTCATAGAACCTACATCTGTTGATGAAGTTCTTCTGGACGTATAATAGATTATGGCAATGCAAGAAGAGTTGGATCAATTCTCCATTAATAATGAGTGAGATCTTGTGCCTAGACACAAAGGAACCCATGTGATTGGAACCAAATGGGTCTTCAGGAACAAGCTCAACAAAAAAAGGAGAAGTGGTAAGAAACAAGGCTCTACTGGTTGCAAGGGTTATAGTCAGCAAGAGGGGATTGACTATACATAAACCTTTACACCATTTTCCAGGTTAGAATCTATTCATCTCTTGATTTCATTTTTTGTTAACCATAACATCATCTTATATCAGATGGATGTTAAGAGTGCATTTCTGGATGGTTACATAACTAAGGAAGTCTATGTATACCAACCTCCTGGTTTTAAAAATCATAAAAATCCAGATTTTATTTTAAAACTCAATAAATTATTGTATGGTCTGAAACAAGCTCTCAGAGCTTGGTATGAAAGATTAAGCCATTTTATTTTAGAAAATTATTTCACCAGAGAAAAGGTGGATACCACCTTGTTTTGTAAATCCTTCAAAAATGACATTCTAGTAGTTCAAATATATGTTGATGATATTATATTTGGTTATGCTAATGCTACTATGTTCAAGGAATTTTCTAAGTCTATGTGGGCTGAATGTGAAATGAGCTTGATGGGATAATTCAAGTTCTTTCTGGTGTAATACCCCAAATTTGTCCCACCCTTTCATCAAATCGTCTAGCTCATGCATTCCGTTCTCATTTCATATGCATACCCTCCATTAGGTCAGTTAACACCTCATGCATCATTAACCAATAAATTAGGCGTGGGAACAAGGATTTTGAGGAATTAGGGTCTCTGTGCTTTTAGGCTTTCGCTTCACTCAGGCTTGAATTAACTAGTTTTTCATTAATTTTGGTTCGTAGAGCTCGGGTTTGGATTCTTGATCATTCGGAACTTCTCCTCTTCGAGATACAAGGCATCTTCATCTAGATTTATCAAACATCAAGGGTATAGGCATCCATCAAGGATTCAAATAAATTCACTTGGGTTCTTTCCTACATCGAAGAAAAGATTAGGGTTTGATCCATTACTTGGGTTTGTTCATCATTTAAGGAGGACTAGACCTGGGATTTCTATAATCATATGATTCGAGTGTCATGCATATCTTCAAGGACTTCCCAATTCATTCTTTTATGATTATTAAGACAAGGCATGCATGTTTATTGTGTTCAAGACAATATCTCAATTACTTATTGCTTGTCATGCAAAGTAATTTAGATTAGTGGTTAAAGATAAAGGTTCATCAAGAAGGCAGTTTTGGTGTTGGTCAATAGAGAATTGAGATGAGGCGTCATTAAAACAAACCCATGAGATCAATTTACTCAAAAGCATAAGTGAGGATTTGATTCATGACTAAATTTGGAAATGATATATCCATATGAATCTCTTGGTATACGGGTTGCTTTGACTTAAGACATAAATCACTATTTTCACTATTCACCAATTTCATTCAAGAAATATAAGGCAAAGAAGTGAAGACAAAATGTGTGTGACCTACAAGATTATGCCAAAGGGGTGCTACTAACGACAAGATATTACCATGTTTCAAGATTTTGTCAAATTATCATCAATGTTGTTTCAAAACTAAAAAGGAAGATATGCAATTTTGAAGAGAGGGTTACTTGGGAATATTCGGATTTTATCATGAGGTTCAAGGAGTTCACAAGAGGATTACCAACCTTACAAAATCATTACAAGATCTTATTGCATTACTTTTGTTTCTAGTGAGTTACAAGTGCATTTGACACTTTACATAAAAAAGGAGAAAGTGCAAAGATATTACATGAGAATACTACTAAGCCTAAATCTAATCCTTAATCAATTCAAACTTCATGATCCATGTTCTTCATAATCAATTCAAACTTCATGATTTGTGTTCTTCATCTCCAATGCTTCAAAGTATTACTATGCCTTGTTATTTACTTAAACAAAGTCCAAAACCTTGCAATTTATAGAAAGATGGTAAGCCGAATTTGTGGAAGCATTGCACCTTAAAAGCTATCCCAAATAGCCCTGCACAAGCCCTGCATATTACATTAAATTAGGAAGCAAAACTTAATCACTAACATGTACAGTTCAGCCAATAACAGAAAAATAGTTAACTAATTGTCCACAACCTCTCTAACAATTCCTAACAGAATTTCAATTTCCCAACCTTCCTAACTACCAAAATTTTCTAACAGTTTTCCAATCTCTTCCTAACTAACTGTCATAACAGAAAACTCCTACATGTAACATAAACTAACCTCTAACAATTTCCTAACTATTTTCTAACAAACTTCTCAATAGAACAACATACAACAGATTATGACAGAAAAGAATTAGAAAACTCGGAGAAGAAAGGGAGCAGATTCATTAACGATTATTCACACGGAAAATTCACAAAGAAAACTAGAAATAACAGTAAAAATTTCAGAATACTCACCTTTCAACCTCGCTATCTCTGCATAATCTCTGAAAATCCTTCATCATCTTCAACCTCTTTCATTCTTCTTCAATCATTTTTTTAAATAATCACCACAAAAAGTTCCTTGCTCTCTCTCAGAAACCTCCACCTTTATCTTCAATCTTAAACAAGGACTTCACTTCATCTTGATTATCTCATCAATCTTCAAGTACACAACATCATTTTCCGCAATCTCAACTGCTTGATTGTTCATCATCACCATCGACATATTTATCAACTTGTTAATCAACACTCAACAACAACAAATCTAGAAGGCATTATTATTTTCAATTCTCATTATTTAAGCATCTACTGCAACTAAGTCTACATCAAGAAACCATCACACCTACAATACCACGACTTCGGATTCTCTATATCAGAATCAACAACAACGCTGGTACACAGGAAACAGAGAGAGAAGAAACTCAGAGGAAGAAGGATATACAATTCACAAAGAAGAAAACAAGAGAAGACTCACCAGAATATGATTCTTGAGGAGTCACTACAACTTCTATCATTCAATCTTCATCACAACCTCCAATATTCAATCCTTCTTGCTTCTCTCTCTGCACGGCTTCAACCACCATCAACAATCTTCATCAATTCAGAGCAACATGCAATCACCCTTATTATTCTCCATCTTAATCAACAAATTTCATACATACAACAACACAATACCAATCGAATTTAAAAAAAATTCAGAAGAAAGTCAGAAGAAGATATAGAAATCAGGGAATCAACGAAGTTACCTCTGAGCATACGCTGGAATTCATCGTCACAGTATCGCAATCGGAAAATATTCAAAAGGGTTCCCATTAAAACTTCCTGTGCTCGCTCCTCTTTGAAAATATTACTTGTGGCGCATAGAATAGCAGGAATTCTGGAGGTTATCGCTTGAATAGGCATTCCCTGAAAATCAAGTTTTTCTTGTTTTGATTCTTTGATCTGCATGGTTGAAGAAGTTTTGTGTGAAATTGATAAGGGGTCCGGGTTTGGAAAGGGACTTCAAGCTAGGTCTATGTGAAGAAGGTGACGAGTTGAAGAGGTGATTCCAGCGGTATCAACTTGCCAGAATTCGCACTCGAGAAGGACGAAGTGAGTTGAATCTAGGGTGAATCAGGCGGGGATGGTGATAGTGAAGCAAATAGGAGCATTGGGTATGAACGAAGATTGATGTCAATGGCGGGGATAACACGATTTGCGAGTGGCGCGTTTTGGCTCTGTGAAGAAGATCATGGAAGCTGATGAGATATCTTCTCTTGCAACCGTAACTCAGTCCAAACGACACCATATTGATCTTGTTTTTACTTAATATTTTATTTTTATTATTATATTAAATTGGAAAAAGAAAAAGATGAATAAATCTTGAAATAGTTTGTGATGGTGGACTGAGAATTCTTGTTGGGATGAACTGCATCCCATTGGCCCGATGTTGTTTTTTTGTGCTACCTGGGATTTGTGATACAAAAATGCTTCGTGGGCTCAAACAGAGTGGGCCTAGAGCCTAGACCACTCACGGCACCACCATGGTTCAACTTGCACTCCTGGCATTTTCCTCAATTTCTATTTTAATTTTTTGTTTCAATTTTATTTTTTAGTCAATTGTTTGTGTGACTTCTCCATGATTTTGATTAATTTTTCACATGATAAAAATGATATAAAAATGTTAGACTTTTCTAGGATTTATTTTTAGAATTTTAATTAGAATTTTCTATTATTCTTTATGTTTAGTAATAATTTGTGTTGCCATCTCTAGTTAGGAGTTTGTAATAGTAATGATGCAACTTTTGCAATATGGAATGCTTGGAGATTAATTTGTTTGATCACTTGTGTGAGGAATCTTTTTAGTAGAGTTTTCTTTTTGCATACATGGTTTTGAATAGGCAACAAACCTTCTTTGTTAGGTATCATCGCAACTTCATTTTATTCCTCATTTCCGCACTTTATCGTATTTCTTTACCGTTTTTCTAGAGATCATGAGAAGTAGGGCTTTACTGCTTTCTGATGCCATGAGAAGTAGGGTAAAGATGTATAAAGGGGATCTCCGTTTCTAATCATGTCAGGAATCCCTATGGTTTATTTAAAGACCCGTTTAGGGAAATTCCACATTGTGTGCATTTTATTTTCTACTTGTATATGGTTTGCTTAAAACCCTTCCTTTGGGTAGGTATTCTGCGGGTGTGTTTACATTTTTGCCCATACTATTACCCCATCCCTTATTGATAAGACCTCAAAAAAAGGCAAGCGGGGAGGGTTCACAATCAACCCCCGTAATTTTGTCCGTGTCATCCTTAGCTCGTGACGCACCATGATGCTTCGGAGTTGGGTCTGCTCTTGTTATCGAGTCCGTCAAGTGGGGAAGGGTTTTGCAATCAAACTCCCATGCTTTGTCAGGAGTTTGCATTGGCCTATGCTGATACTCTGTGATCTTTCATATTGCCTTCGGTCGCCTACCCCGATCTCTTATATCTTGGTTAGGTGTTCAGTCGCTTTGGACATCATATTTTTCTTTTACATACTATTCCCGTTTATTTATCTCGGGTGATACGCTCCCCTTGACTAAAGCATTTCTTTTCTTTTCCTTAATATTTTATGTGTGTGCTCTTTCGAGCTTGCTTGTTTTATCCTTGTACATACTGTGTTCCCTTAGGATGCACTTGCTCCTTTCGGATGCAAGTTAGACCTTAGGTTTCAAACCATGCATGCTAACATTAGGTAGAGATTTTCCTTTCATCCTTGACATAGGGCCACCATTATATAATAACATTAGGTTAGAAATAGGCTAGTCCCTTATAGACTCTTTTCTTTCATTTTTGCATCCTTGCATGTAAAACTAAAACCTTTTCCTTACCAAATCAAAAAACATGCTAATCACACTTAAACCCTTTTTCAAGGTAACAAAACACAAACCAATCAAATGTGGCATCTTGCCTTGAGGGCATAACTCAAAACCATTTTCAGTAAGGACATGTTAATTTACTTCTTTGCCAACGCGTGAGTCTCCAAAGGTCGAGCTGCAGTAGAAGGTAGAATTAACATTGTTCATAAAAACAAAAAACAAACAAAAACATGTGAGCCGAACTATGATAACTCTAATTCCTCAAAAAAGATACGTAGGTATTGGGGTAGGGCCCAAGTGAACAAAACTTTATTTTCCCTACATCATTTTGTCCTTTCTTTTGCATGCATTCTTCCTCAGTAGTAAACGGTAAGCATATATTAAACACACCCATAAGATAAATAACAAGAGTGGATACCGTAGAGTATTATGGGCGTGTTGGGTTCTAATACCTTCCCATTGTATAACAGACTCCCTTACCCAATCTCTCGGTTGCAAGACCATGACTTCTCCCTTCTCAAGTTTTCTCGATGTTTACCTTTCCCTTCATGTGGGATAAAAGATGTTCGATGGCGACTTTATTGTTTGATGATTTTCAGCCGGTTGTTTCATCTTGGAATCCAAATCAATCAAGGCCTAAAAGAGACTTTCATTCATCAGAGCAAGTACACCAAAGAACTTTTGAAAAAGTTTGACTTGTCTAATTGCAAGACAGAAAAGACGCCGATGAATCCTACATGCATTCTGGAAAAGGATGGGTAAGTGGTAAGGTTTATTAGAAGTTGTATAGAGGTATGATAGGTTATCTATTATACTTAACTACTTCTAGAACTGATATTTTATTTAGTTTTTGCTTGTGTGCTCGCTTCCAATCAGATCTTAGAGAATTTCACTTAACATCTATTAAGAGGATTTTTAGGTATCTGAGAAGTACTACTAACCTTGGTTTGTACTATAGAAAATCAAGTGAATACAAGTTAGTAGGCTATTGTGATGTTGATTATACTGGAGATAGACTAGAGAGGAAAAACACTTATGGAAGTTGTCAGTTTCTGGGAGACAATCTGATCTCATGGTCTAGCAATAGGCAATCAACAATAGCACTCTCAACTGCAGAAGTTGAGTATATTTATGCTTCTGGATGCAGAACCCATATCCTCTGGATGAAATGTCAGCTAGAAGACTATCAGATATAAGAGAGTAACATTCATATTCTCTGTGACAATACTTCTGCCATTTGTTTATCCAAGAATCCCATTTTACATTCTAGGGCTAAACATATTGAGATTAAACATCATTTTATTGGAGACTATGTTTAGAAGGGAATTTTAGATTTAAAATTCGTAGATACAAACCATCAATAGGCTGATATCTTTATAAAACCTCTTGCTGAAGATATGTTTGTTTTCATTCTGAATCATTTGAAAATGGTTTTATGTCCAAAATGAAAAAAGATGTAATCTAGGAATGTTGGCTTCCATTATGGAAAAGTGAGACTCTAAGGCTTGTTATTTATTTCTCTTCTGGAATGTGAGGCTTCTGATAAGTGAAGTCCTCATATATCCGAAGTGTCCTAGGTCAGAATATTTTCCTTTAAAAGCTTTTGTCCCTTAGAAAATGAAGAGTTTACTTCATTAATGAGGTGTCAGGATAGTGAAAGGTTAGTGATTCAAATTAATACAACTGTCTTTTTCTGAAGCACGCCTAGTACTTGTTGTGACATATTGGGAGAAAAGATCTTATTGGGATTAGGTAAAAAATCTACAGGCTTTACCCCTTGTCAGAATTTTTGCACTATTCAAAATCTTTTTTAATGATTGCAAAATCTCTATTTAAACTTACTCACTCTCACTTCAAACACTTTCGCTACCACTAACCCACACTTTCTCTCTTTCAATGCCTAAAAGTTCTCAAAACCCTTTTCGATTTGTGTTCGTGAATCAATGGCTTATCAAAAATAACTTTTTTCAACTGCTCAACAAATGGTTCAAGGTTCTTCTCAACAACAATGATAACAAGTTTGAGATTCCAGTCTTCACTTGCCTACTCAGGTAAATCAGTTATCGGTTCTTGTTAAGTATATAGTTGATTTCGAGAACCTCTCTGCTCATGGTTTTGATCTTTCTGGAGTTGTTAAGTTTCAAGGATGGGAAACTTATTTTGATTTTCTGAAGGGGCCAGTTTATCCTAAGATGGTCAGTATTTTTGGATACATGCTTATGTATCTAAAAGTGGTCATATTTGTTCTAAGGTCAAGGGTCGATGTATCTTCACCATTGAGAAGATGTTGCTAATTTGATAAATCATGATGAAAATGGAAAGAGATTCATCAACATGGTTGTTGATCCTTTAAAGATGGCTGAAAACGCATCAAATATCTTTAAGGACGGTACTAACAAGCATAATCCCAAGTTTCTAGATGACAAACTTAGAGTGTGGTTTAAGATCTTTTTGGGCTGTTTCAATCATCATTGTCCTACAAATTCTTTTGATTACATTAACACTTGTCAGAAGTATATGTTGTCCGCTATCTCTACAAATGTTAAAATCAATTTTCCAGCTGTGTTGTTCCATCATCGGAAGAACACCATTTTGGAGACTAGAGATTTTGGTTCAAAACCCATAAAATCTATTCCAATGGGTAGATTTATCTCTGATATTCTTGTGGAAAGAAAACTTGTTGATTCATTAAATCTTCAAAGAACAATGGAAGTTATGGTTGGATCCTCACTCAGTGGCAAAGCTTTGAGGAATATGTCGTTAATTTCTAAGGTTTCTGTGCTTCTAGCTGAAATTGTTGTTGTTAAAGTTGCTTCCAGAAGGATGATTGTAGAAGGCTTTCCTGCATATTATCTTGAAAGATCCTATATAATCACTCAAGAGAATTGTCTTATTTCTCCTTCTGCTTCTCTAAATAAGAAGAAGATGAAATATTCCAAGAAATCTTCCAAGAAATCTACTGTTGAGGGTTCTTCTAAGAAGTCTAAGACTTTAAAACCCAACAAAAGATCATTGGAGTTTCCCGTAGGTGTTGTTGATGATTATAAACATTCTAAGGTTGCTAGAACATTTGGATCTTCTCTATCTCCTAAGGATGAAGTTGATGCTTCTG